GCAATTACTCCAAACGTGTAATAACGTGCTTTAACCAGTAGGAGGTGCGGGTTAAAAAACTGTCAAGTTTAAAGTGTTAACAAAATAAAATATATTGCTGTTTCTGGTTTAGTTTACGACGGATATATGTTGTTATTGTTTTGATATTTGTAACAAAAGCGATGGAAAAAACCCACAGTAACACAGAAAAGATGGTCTTAACAGTCTGACCCAGCGGTCTAGTAGTTAATAAAAAACAATAATATCAAAACAGATTATTACTACTAACTTTATTGTGAAATTAAAACAGAACGGTAAAAGAATAGTTTCCGGTCTATTCTGATGCCCGATCTCTGTAGATAAATAAAGAACTACGATAGATGTGTAATATTTAATGCAGCCAAACCATTTATTACAATGCATTAATGTGATGACTTTCAAAGAGTAAAGCAAGCACTGCTGAATAAAGTATGATTTTATCTTTTACGAAACGTGTTTTTTCATATGGAATGCAGTTGGAGGTCAACCAATCACAGAGCTTGAGGACTGATCACGGGGTTTGTCAAACAGAGCACATGGTGTAGTCCCAAACGATAGCTGAGGATTCTGGGTAGTGTAGTGTCTTCTGCCATCCAAAAACTCCGAACAAATATTCGTTTCTCCGAATCGAAGGGGAAAATACAAAAGCATTGTACACAATTTAAACCAATCAATGTTGTGTAATTAACAAGGATAATCTGGTGTTTTTGAGTTGATGAGTAGTGCAGATATCACTGTAAAATCAATCGACTGTAAGGAGAATACTTACTTCCGGGTGTAAAATTCTCCGTTATCCAATGGGAATGGATGCTCGTAATACAATAAAGGGGACATGATCATTATCTTTTAAATAACGTTAACTAAAGGGAACAATCTATTGACACAGCTGAAGCTCTGGCCTTCCTTAAAAACTAACTAATTTAATACAAATCACAGTTGTATTACACACAATGCACTGTTTTTTGAGAACAAAAATGCGTAACTAATGCACCATAATACATTCTGACGACAAATAAAAATTATTATGAATACAAATAAAATAAAAGAAGCCTCCCGTGAGTTACTACAAGCTATAAAGTAGATTTAAAAAACGTTTTATAGAATAAAAGCTCACTGCGGGACGTTGTAGAAATGCGTGTGTGCACCACGAAAAAAGAGCCTCATTCACTTTACATTGGGGTTTTTTGCGTGGTGCCGACACGTACATGTAACAGAATGCGTGACTCCACCACGCAATGCGGTGTTAAGGTTGCGTGGTGGAGTCACGCATTCTGGTGAGATCAGGTTGTGTTAGATATAGGAAACTGTGACGGCCCCTACACACGGCGGCGTGCGTTGAATCTTGCTGGCGGGCATGTCTGACACTCGACCAACAACCAATCACATCAATCTCCTGCCCCAGACACACAAGCAGCGGTTTGATTGGCTCGAGCAGGGGTGCCCAGCCTTTTTTGAACCGAGAGCTACTTTTAAAGTCGCCAGTCTGCCGAGATCTGCCAGTCCAAATAGAGAGGCATTACTGACAGCCTGCTACCAGGTGAATACACACTTCTACTTGTATAAAACTGACCTTTGTACGATTAATACTTCATAAAACACTGCAGATCCTTTATCTTACCTCTTTCTGATCTACACACATACAAGTATTGAACTGAAGTTACACAACAGTGTTGTTGATACAGAGTTGGAGTTTATTCACACGTCATTACAGTGGGTAATGTTTTCAAGAAGCATTGAACAGTGCTACCTCATATGACACGCAAGCAACACTAGTTTCTTTACAGGTTGATTTAGGCCCTTACGGTTCCAGCTGATGAAGTTGACCTGGCAGCCATACACCCCAGGGCGGGCAGATGGAGTCGTCATTGAAGATTTCTTACTGAAAGAATGGAGAGCTGAAGTGCAAGCTGGTCATAGATTAAGGTGCTAAAATATTGCCGTACTCTGGAGCAAAAACAAAACTGACTATAACACACAAAAAAAGAAAACATTTATCACACATTGTTCTCCCCATGTTCCCAAAGCTTAACAAGCTTTCCTCTAACCGCCATTACCTCAATATCTAACCACGTTCGGTCCTTATAACAGAATGTGCTTATCCAGCAGTGAACTCCTCTATTAAAAACAATAATCACATAAAACAAGACCCAAAAGACGTGTGCAAAATAATTGTAATGGGTATTTTGCTCAAAGATAAACCCTCTCACAAATACGTGTTGCTTCTCTGCTGTCTATCTGATCTTGGGAGCACCGGTTACTATGAGCAGTGAGACAAGATGCTTTAAACATGAGCAGATACATTCATGGAGTAGTTACTGAAGCTAAACTCGAACTGAAGCAACCGGTGAACAAGACAGACCTGCAGGAGGAGGTCTCAGGGAAAGAGTCTCAAAAGATCCCGTGAATGAAAAGTCTGTTTAAACGAAGAAAGAAATTAAGACCCTCACACGAGTCAAGACACAAGCAGCGTCCTTCTGGAGAC